GTTAGATTCTTTGTATCGAGTTAGACGTGAGGAATACACTGCTAGTTTCTGTTTGAGTGTGTCGTTTATTTCATAAATGTTCTCTGATGTTCCTTTCTTGATTTTTTCTATATGTTTTGTAATTTTCTTTGATCTGTTTCCTTTTTCATACTGAGTTATTCTTCCAATGTCTTTTCTTAATTTGTTTATTTTAGTCTCTATTCTCTGTTGCCATTTTGGTTTCTTTTGTTTGTTATTAGTTAGATTTACAGTTTGTTTCGTAAATTGCCCATTGCAGGCTAGTACCGTTTTTGCAGCTGCGTAGGTTACTAAATGTAGTTCTTCAAGTTTGCTGTTTTCTGTTACGTATTGCGGTATGACGTTATTGTTCATTACGTTTATCAGCTGCTTGCTTTCTCTTTTGAATATTAGTTTTGGCAGTGTTTCTCGTTTCGTGGGATCCGTTCCTCTCCATAATGTTATGTTTGTTTCCATTTCAGTTGTTAGAAGGTCTGCGTACTGTGCCTGTGATGTGGTGGGATTGTGTGTTTTTTGTGTTGGTGAGCTAATGTGTGTTTCATGTGTGAGGGTATTTTCTTGTAGTGTTACTGTGATAGTGTCTTCTTGGAGGTCTATGCTTGTATCAGTTTGTGTTACATGTTGTGGTGCTGGTTGGGCGTGTATTTCTTGAGCTATTTCTTCTTTGATTAGTTGTATTTCGTGAGGAGTAATTCTGTTGTTTTGTACTATGGCTCGTTTTTGGTCTATGACTCGTTGTTGGGTGACTGATTGTGCTAGGTGTGGGTATTCTGCGATGAAGAGGGTGTGCATTTCTTGTTTGTATCCGGTAAGTTTTGTTTCAAGTTTGGTAGCTTTGTAGTAACAACGCATAACAGTTTTGTTCATGTTTATATCCCATGTCATGCGTTGTCGGGGTTTCCCGGCCTTAGTGGTTGCAGGTTGACCTGGCAAAACACGTTCAGCTGGGTTAAAGTTCGAAGCAGGGTCGTTGTCCGTATGGTCGAGTATCCTGTTCCCGCGTCGTCCTCGACCTTGGCGACGCTCGTCCGAGGCTTCTGTTCGTGTATTTGGAACCGCCTTTCACCTATGTGGGTGGTTGGCCCAGCACAGGGTTAGCTAAGGGTACGCGTGCTCGCTACGCACGTAAGGTAAAAGGTTACCTTCCCTTGCGGGGTTATTATTATTATTATTATTATTATTATTATTATTATTATTTAAATAAACAAACTTACAAAAAAGATCAAATTTAAACAAAAAATTAAGTAATTGAAAATATAGCTAAAATGTAGAAATAGACACCAAAATAACAAATTCCCATCAATTCCGTGCTTGTTTGTGATAAAATCCTCCAGAATTAAACGAACTTAAAACATTCACACATTCAGCATGGCCCTTCCTTATCTTCCGCATTATTCCAAACTAAAGAACGTAAATCTGACGTTGCTTTCAACAACAATATATTTCAAAGATTTTTTTATGACACAGGGTGCTTTTCATTAAATGCTAATTAAATATTAATAATGATAAATTGTTATTACGCTATCTAGACCCATAGAGATGCACCCAGTGATTTTAAAATAGGATTTAGGAGTATTAATTGCACCTTAATAGGAAAAATATTCACCTCGATTCACCTGTAACAGTCATCCTATCAAAAGACGTTTTGTGAACACGGTAGGTACAATAGCGATGACCCCAAGCAACGCCTTTTTTATCACAAACACAACCCGTTTACAAAACAGACAAATAAAAAAAATAAAAAAATTCAATGGATCTCAAGAAAAAAATAAGTACTCACAGATCAAATTAACTGGTCCGGACAATGTGAATAGGGTCCAAAACAAAACAAACACTATACATAGAGCTGACAGCTTTTAACTCACTTTTACTTAACACATAACATGGGAAATCCAATGACTTGTCGTATGAGGCTCACCAATAATTATGATTGCTAATCGATTAAATTAAATAAATAAATTATTTTTAATTAACAACACTTCAAAACGTAATCGGCAAAAACATGCTCGTAAAAATTTAGCGCACCGCTTCCTTTAATTGACCTGCAAACAGCATTACGGGGATACCTCCGTCTTAGGTTAATCCTCGTTTATTTCTTCTTCTTCTTCGTACTTAAAGGTCAGGTCACCTCCACTTATCCGTTCAATCACGTTCCCCTGCCATTTTCGAAACACCACTTCGTTATCTCGTACATGGCGTTGTTAGTAAATAAAGCCAATTAATTTGTCCGATAACGCCTTTACAAAACATATGGCAGATAAGACTTTTATCTTACGTGGAAGTTACGATTAATTGCGTTCTAAAATTTATGATACCCATTAAGTACACCCAATAAACTTACCTGGCTTAAACAATTACTTAATTTTCAATTAAAAACATATCTAACATTACAATCAATTGCAATTCTGTGCCTTTTTGAACAATATTCCCCCAGGTCCTATTAAATATATTGAAACATTTTACATTCAGGATGTCCTGACTGGTATTTCAAATGCGTAAACCGGAAATTACGTTGACAACACGTTTTTCACGGAAGCAGACTCAAAAATTGTGTTAAAAGGCTATCTTGGTCTTTAATCACTAGCTTTTTAGCGTATTTTCCTAGTGAAAAATCGCTATTGGCTGCACTTTGTCGTCCGTCCGTCCGTCACACGTACTCCTTCTACACCACTGAATCGATTTGGGCGATATGGGGCATGCGCATACCGATATTTTTTGGTTTTGCGCATGCGTAGTGTCAAACAATTTTTTTTTATTTATGAAGATATTTTAATGAAATTATATATGTAAATGCCATCTTTCTTGTTTATGAAAGCAGTTAAATGAAATATCATATGTAGACACTTCGAATGAAAGTAAAACTAATACCCTTTTCAAAATGTGTATGTATTTATATACGCTCCACTATTGTTCATTAAACTGTATAGCCTTCGACGATAGGCGGCTCATTTGAAAGAGAATGGGGTAAGTATCTCGTACCCACCGGTATTTTTTTCTGGTGCTAGCATTAGTATTATTAGGAGGAAAATACGCTCTCGTCATTTATGTTTGCATAATGACTTTTTAAACTTGTTTGCTTTAACTGTACCCTAGAGTGAACGATCATTTTGAGCAATAAAGTCAGTAATGGTTTTTTTATTACCTCGATGTATCCCATGTAACAACTCAACAAACTTTTCTCACATGGTCAGTTTCAAGAACTCCTCATTACTTGGACCCTAAGGAACCAATCGTGTGTGTCTTTATCGTCCAGATCTTTTTTGCAGTTCTCGGACATTTTTTTGCTTTGGAAAACGCCAAAGAAGCCAATGACTAATTTTGACGTAAGTTACAATCACTTCAGATGGATTCTAACCGATGTTGTCGAATTTCATGTTGGTGTTGACGTGCAGCTTCCATACGAACCCGGAACCTTGCACGTATTCGCAAGTTCGTTCTAATCAGAATTATCGATAACGTGGACTGCATGAATGACAACTGGCTTTCGGCTGACATAGTGGACATTACCACTTTTTAATCCGGTCCATAAAGTACTTTGATATACATAACAAATTCAATTTCCGAATTTGATGCTTAATATTGCAACTTACAGGTGATTTTACGATATTTCTGACAGTTAGGGGTACCGGTGAATTCGTATGGGACTTGTACTTGTTAACTTACAAGCAAGATTTACGTATCGTATATATTAATTTAATTTGCCTAATAACGGGAGATCAAAAATGAGTTGCTGTCGTGTCGCCTTTGGAAGTTCAAGTTAAGTACGATTTCCCATGTAAACAAAAATTCCAAAGGTGACTCGACAGCAACTCATTTTTGATCGCATAGTACCTGCTATAAAAAACTCTAATTGTGATTAATGTCTCCGTCGACAGCTGTGTACAGAATAAATGTGATAAAGGGAAAATCTATCGCGTATATTTACGTTGAAGGGCTAGTGGGAGACAATCAAAAAGGACATAGATAAGTCTTGATTAATTGTCCTTATTCACAATGTCTGCGACATTTGAACGTAGATGATCCGCACCAGACTGGTTTTGGCGATTGGTGTATAGATAAAGAGCGGGCCAGGAATGTTCGATCACGATACGACCGCCAAACCGGTCGACAAGGAATACTGATAAAGGATACGAGGAGAGCCCGTCGATTCTACCATCTAAAGATTTATTACCCCGGCCATCAAAGAGGGAGTACGATTCAACAACCAACAGTGCTGAAAGCGAATCTTACTATGTTTGTATCATTAAACTACAAAGTAAATTTTTTTTCTCTTGCAATCCACTATACACAACTATATGGATGGGGTACCAGCATTCAAAACCTGTTGTGTAAATTATTACCCATTCGAAATCTGTTAGAGTAACTTTACTAAGGATGGTGAAGCTCCTTCCTATTATTTTACGGCGTTGACAAAGACGCCATTTGCGGTGAGTATCTCGTAAAATAAGTCGTTGGCTTTTGTTCAGCGACACCGAAGGGGCAAAGAGACGGTGGTCTCATCACGGGGGAGTACTCAAACACCCCTAATTATTACTGTGTCGCTAAAACTTTTATGCAGACGTAAACGTAAAATTGCCGCCCTCAACCTTAACCCTGTTGACATTTCATTGATTTTTACGGATAGAAAAAGTGCCTTCTCTCGCTAAAAATCTTGTCATTACTACTAACCCGATATCATTGCAGTCCTTAACCCTTCCAAAAATAGTTCCATTTACGGATACAAGAGTTGATCTTTCGAACGGTACATAAATACAACAATTCGATTATAAATAAACCGTCTACCCTAATCTGATTTCATTCCCTTTCAGTTTGCGTGTGAGTCATTAACCCCCTCTATGTACAACCCTCCCTTACTATGCATACAAACATTACATTGAAAGCCATTAGAACACCCGCAAAATTGCGTACTGAAATTAACCCGGTGATAGGACACTGTGGGGTTAACGAAAAGGACGAAGGTGAAGTTGCATTCTTTGTTACAGGTGACGCGAGTAACGCAAGCGTGGGTAGCGGAGAGGGTACCGGCGAGGAAGACGACGACACCAATGGCAAAAAGAATCAAAAGAAACGGGGGATATTTCCAAAAGTAGCAACCAACATATTAAGAGCGTGGCTTTTTCAACACTTAACGGTAGGTGACACAACACTTATTTATTTATTTGACTTTCTCACAATTTGGCATCCAATCAATTTTTTGTCGCGCAATAAACTTATAATCTTAATTTCATATGGTAGACAAGATATTTAAAAGATTGCTACTGCCAAATTGATCTTTTGGGATACATGTGGAAACATTGCCTAAAATTAGACTTGCAGGCTTGTTTCGGTTGCTGAAACTGCTCGCTACTGAAGAAGGTCTGCTCTTGTAATGCCACCATTTTGCACTCTTTGGTAACTTTTCTCCTTTTTAATCTTAAATGAAAGTCAGTTTGGGGGTGCAATCATTCGTTACTCAGCTATTACACTAATACCTACGAGTAAAAATTAAGAGAAGAGCATGTAATGGTTGTGGGAACTAGCATAGCACGCGCCGGAAGTCGCCATCATATTACCTCCTTTGCCCTGGTCAGTTATCTTGATTTGACTTTTGATAAAACAGAAGACGCGATGTCAGTTTTGTATTATTTCACCACTACCCATGGTAACGCGGTTCCCCGCACTCTTATTACCTCCTTTGTACCCATTTCCGTCGCGTGCTCTTTTAATGTTAGTTTCTTTCCACTTTTTACTACTATACATTGTTAAAATTGACAATATTTGTGATAACTGAAAAAGATGAACTGTACAGGTAAAAATCAAAAATGAAAGGTCAACTGAAAGTAAAGGTCAAGGATCATTTGCCCCCCCCCCCCCACCACTCCTTGTTTGAAAACATTAAGACTCGATTAATGTCGTATTCGTAATAAAATCGAACGTGTTTCTGTCTCGTGTTCTGTTTTTTATGTACTTTTTTTTCGGTAGGTACATGGCCGTCTCTAAATTCATTATAGGATAAATTGAACTCATTTCAGATTTCATGCGCCAAGCCAAAAAGGAAGCAAAGAGGTTTCGGTAAAATGTGTCAATTTAGCCTTTGTCTTTTGATTGCTATTCTTATAAAAATCTTTAAGCAATCTTTGTTAGTTACATTACAAACCTTATTCTAAATAACATTGATCCTCTACGACATTGCTGAGCAAATTTATCACAATTAATTTTACCCACGGCTAGCTCTCTAACAACATTTCAATACCCTTTACCTTGCGGAAGTTTGTCCTTTTATCTCCTATTTAAATCCGAAAATCGTTTGACTGCAGACGAATAAATACGAATTTCAGAATAGATAATTGAATATATTGACAAACTAAAGTCGATCCAATTCCATTCTCCTTTACATTTTTTTTTCTGATTTACAATATTGATTTGTTTTCTATAGATACAGAATCTCGTGGCTACGTTTCGTCCCAATTTCCTTATCTAATTATTTTATGCACAATAACCTCTTGGGAATTTTTTACACAAAGTTTGAAATCATATGAAAAAATAAACATATTCCTTTGTATTGATCCAATTATAATGATTAAATATATACAAATCTGTTTCGTTCAATGAACTTCCACAGATCGGTTCCGTTAAGGATATTATGATTACCTACGTTAAATAAACATACACGGCAAATTCTTAAAGATAACCGACTAATAAGGTGAAATTCAACAAAATTTAAAGTAACTTGGAGATATCGCCGAAATCGGTGTTTTTCTGTAGGGGACAAATGGTACGCCCCTCCCTTGAAAGGGCTTCCTCCAAGAAAAATTGAAAACTGGAGCGCTTTTGGGGTGATACAGTTGAACCTTTGAGGCCGACTCTGGTACAAAACTGCCTTTCGTAGTATGGAAATTTGTGGATAATGACTGTTTACTTATCGCGACCGCATTCAAACCCAGCTTCGCTGCCACAATATCTTTAGAAAACAATTGACGAAAGTCGCGCAATTTTACACTGAACTCGTTAATTATTTCGCTACGTATTTGAGTTTTTTGCGTAAGTAAAATTACACTTTAAATGCGATTTAAGCGGTACCAACGCAAAAACCGAGTTATCGCGGTCATCCCATACGTTCTAAATACACTCGTTTTATCACTGAACCTAACTCGCACTCACCTTTCGTTGGAAGCGTAAATTTCCTATACTTAAATGATATTCGAAAAAATTGCAACTTGCTCTCTCCCATTACAGTACCCCCTTTTGGTTTTTAAAGCGAGGAAACACGGAAGCTCTTTTTCCAAACTATATGGTCTAACCTAAAAATCTCAAACTTAACCTAAAAAATCCTAAATATAACCTCTTCCTAAAACTAATAATGTAAAAAAAACTTAACCCCTAACTTCTTTAGATTGGTCTCCTACCCCCTCCAAACTAGCTATACTGACTTGTCAACTTCACTATTCCTTTTTCTTCATCTTCTTCAGTTGTTTTATCTGTTCAATTAATATACTTAAATTTTCTTCTTTATTGTAACTTTTTGTAATTAATTTTTTTATTTGTAGTACATCTTCTTCTTGTTCTTTTGTATTCTAGCTTTTTGAAAATAATTTTTTATTAAGTCGATTGAATTCGTTTGCTCCTGAGTTGTTCGCATCTTGCAAGGGACTAGTAGAGTTCCTGGTCTACGCCTTGGTAGTTTTCCGGATGTGGAGAACCATATCCTTTTCCTACTCTGGTCGTAATTCCCTCTTTCTCTCTAATTGTTGTAATTTAACTCTCACGAAATTCATTTGTCTTCTCCTGCCAGTTCTTCCATTATTGTCTCTCCTATTTTGTGACCTTTCCCAGTTGCATTGGTTCTCGACCTGTCTTCTGTATTTGCCTACTTAATTCGCTCTGTGTTGGCCAGTTGTGTTATTGTATACTCCAATACTAAAAACTAATCCTACTCCGAATTACGTTTTCCTGCAGTTTTCCTAATTCGTAAGGTAAATACCGGAGAACAACTTAAGACCGCATTATGCGGGTCACTCTGTAATTGGGCGAAATATTGAGGGTCCAGAACAAAAGAGGGCAATACATAAATAAAAAACGTGGGAAAAACGTTTGTGCAGATATTTGCTCCCCATAGTAACTTAGAGAGTTTATAATGACACCAATTGAAAGACGATTTTTTTTTCATCGAAATAAATTAAAAATAAAATTCAAATAATGATAAATACAATTGAAAATGAACTAATTCGCATATCATTAGATGAGAACAAAAATCTTCTTTCGATTGGTGTCATTATAAACCCTCTAAGTTAACATGACGAGCAACTATTTGCAAAAAAAGTTTTTCTCATGTTAATTTATTTATTTTATTTATTTATTTATTTATTGTCCCTCTTGTTCTAGGACCTCAACAGGCTTACGCCCAATTATAGATTGCCTATGTTCGGTTTTGAAATATTCACCCATGTCACTAAGAATATTTTCCGCATTTTCTTTTGACCACGTTTATACAAAACGTACCCGAAAGCTCTATCTTTATTACTTCCCGAGAGACACACGCCTGCTATTTTTATTTCGCCATCCGGTATAGTACCTCGCGCCGCATTTCTATAACACTTGGAACAAATTTACTAAAGGAACATCTTACATCTAATTCTACACTAGTAACAAAGTAAACCTAAACATTGAGTAAGAACTTAAACGTAATTTTAATCGGTATGTATGTACCTACTTTATAATTTTGGTTTTCGTATTTTTAAGATTTTTTCTCTTTTCTGTTCATGATGAAATATACGCTCATTTTGAGCATATTAAATTTAAAGAAATGAATAAATCATACCATATCTGTAAAAATTCACGTTGTCATATATCAAATCGACATTTAAATATTAAATGATTGAACTTTGTGAGACACAAATCATAACAAAATAACTGAACTCGATCTTGCCTTTCAGTACAAATGCAAAATATTCGCATAAAAATCTTAAAATGTTATAGAAATTCAGCACAGTATGGCAAATTAAATTAATAATAAGAATACCTAGTGAACGTAAATTGTAATTAGTAAGTGCAATTATGTTAAATATTTGTATGTGACGGTACTTGGAATCATGAAGTGTTTCGCGAATGTGAATTAAATACGCAGTGTGGAATATCCAAGAAATAAGAGAAAATATGAAATGTATCTATTTTTTACAATAAATTAAAATAAAAATTTAAAATGTGAGAAAATACGGAATATGAAATTTATTATAAGAGTGAAATGGAATACGGCATAGATTATTTTTCACACATATTTTAGCATATTAATCGTAATTATGAAGCAAGATTGAAAGTGGTCAAATCTTGCTTTTATCTAGGCTACTACTGAATACCATATTTATTTTTGCAATTTTTTGGATGCCAATAAGTGAAGTCTCGCTCAAATTTGGACGTCATCACGACCACGTTAGCGCATTCTTATTTTCGAACAGAAATTCATCAAAAATGTTACCTAATGGAAGGAATTGCTCTAAAGTCCATATATCTCATAAAATCGAAACTTTCAAATAATCTATACTTATAGGGTTGAAGCCATCATCAACCGGTTGCTAATAAAATAAAAATTTACGGGGCTCGGTTGCACGTCAGTGGCCTATTTTTGAATTTTCTTCGATGCGCTAACTCTCTGAAATCATTCACATTATTGTCCATGTACGAACGGATTAAGATGAAAGAAATCAAAAAGTCATAAAAAGAGTTCGCTTTAATTAATTACTGATTAAATAGGTAATGTTTTACTTAGTGATTAAAGTTGTTGAAAATGGGTCACAAATTGTGCATTTACTACCGATAAGACTTGTTAAGATAATTTAGGAACCATTTCCGAAACGAGGCACGTTAAGATAAAGATCTCAATCTCGTAAAATAGTTGGAATGTGACCGTGGTCTTTGAGAGATTTGCATAGCACATCTTAGAAACCTTAGGAATTGCCGGCTTTTATTCCCAACACGGGCATTTAAGTAGGCAATATCCATACCGTTGAGCCCTATCGGCCTAACTTTTCCTTGGCGTTTGTTTACATGTCGTTCTCGAAGTGATTCGCCAATAGCGGGACTCAGGAGATCAATGCCTAACGATAGTTACGTGTTTATAATGTTGTTTAGAGACGGTGGCGCTAGCGACAACGACTT